GTGTGTGTGTGTGTGTGTGTGTGTGTGTGTGTGTGTGTGTGTGTGTGTGTGTGTGTGTGTGTGTGTGTGTGTGTGTGTGTGTGTGTGTGTGATCCACTCTCTCCGGGCATCTTTAACTCCAGAGCACAGAGTGTAATTTCACTCGGCAATAAGGCATGGGTACCAATTAACACGCAACAAGAATGTAAAACAATTTCTCAAATAGATGAAATGCACATGTACACGATTCTGTGTGAATTTAGCTTGCCTTGCTGAAAATATCATCACGTCTAATCCCAGAGTTAATAGAAATTAAAGACAATTTCACAGCGTACTATAACAGCAGTGCTCATTTTATGGTGAATTAGACTGGAACAATTACATCTGTTGGAAGAGAGGGTGGTCTGTGGAAGCAGCTTGGCGTCAGTGTGTTTCTTCACTGTCAGAATATAACATAATTCAGCTTAGAGAAAATGTAGAGAATAGTCCACTTGAAATGTCTCTGGGTATTCTGGGTTCCCAGCTGAGCCACCTCTCCTCCTCGGACACTTCTTTATCAGCTTCATCCTGTGGATTATTTGGCACCAGAACCCCCCCTTTGGGTCACTCCTCTTGTCCGACCACCCCCTTAATGCTGAGCTGCTCCGTACTTCTTCCCTGCAGAGGAGAGAAATCACAGGAGAGACGTCAGAAACAGGTTTAATACCAGGTAGGTTGACACGTACGAGGAATTTGAATACATAAAAGTAAAACAAAAATAAGAAACACAGATAGAAATATATTACAAATAATACAAAAATATAGTCAAATATAACAGTATTTACATAGAAATGGAATGGAATACAAATCGGCAGTAATAAAAAAAGAAAACAGATAGTGTTGTACATCCGGGTTAGACTATAGACAAACACACAATATCTATTCTTTCAGTAAAGCTCCTACACCGCCTCAATTTCAAAATATGCCTGACTGTATCTGATAGATTAGACCAGGGGTTCCCAAAGTGGGGGTCGCGAGACCCTGAGTGGGGGTCGCGAGATGATTACAAAATAAAAATGGAAAATAAAAATAAAAGAAATTTATAAAAAAAAATTGATTAATCTTTTTTATAATTTTTAAAAATAAATTATTATTAATAATAACGTTTGCATAGACATTTTCAGGGGCGGACTAGCCATCTGTATAATTTCCCCGCAACGAGGCTCCCCCTTTGACAATCCACTAGCGCAGTGTTTCTCAAACTTTTTCATACCAAGGACCACTTAACCAATAAAAAACACTCATGGACCCC